ATTAACGATTTAAATAAAGAAAATTAATTTTTTGAAATAATAATATTAACGATTTCATATATATGTAACTTAATTATCAGATTTCTAATCTTAGTTTTCATTCCAGTTGCAGATATTTTATAAAGATTATATATCCTCCAGCTAATCAAAAATACGATGTCATCTCTTGTAAGAATAATGAATAGAAAATTAAGATTTTAATAAAGATAAACAAAAAATTTTTCTACATTTTTTTTTACTTGAGTTATATATAATATACTAAAGTAGAAATCTGATAATAAAACGAAGGATAGAATATTTTAATTTTTAATACGATTTTTTCAGCTGACTAGACAATTTAGTTGATGTTTAAATAAAAATCTATCAAACTTAGTTTATGGAGTTTTGCACATGTAAGTGAATATTTTAAATTAAGCTGCTCACATTATTTTTATTTTTCATTTTAGAAATTATTATAAAATATTTTTCATTTATTTAAAAAAATTTCTAAAAAGAAAAAAAATTATTTAATCTACCATAGCGTGTAACTAAGTGGATACTTTTAAATATTTAATATCTCCTCTTTTTTTAATAATTAATAGCACCGTCAAAAGGTATAAATATACTTAAAAATTTATTTTATAAATCAATAATAAATCGACTTATAAAAAATTTCTATAGAAAATTGAATCTTACTTTTTTATATAAAATTTAAATTAGTTTTCTTTTACGTTAAAACGAAAATATTTGTATTAAATTTGATATTTTTAAATTTAGAAAATAGAGCAAAGAATGATATTGAAATATTCAGCACTTTTGTAGACCGCTGGTAAATTTCTTTTTAGTAGAAAACATTACGTGATATCAAAAAATCATTGTATTTTATTAGGCGATAGCTGCATTTTCATGATCTCCAAACTTAAAAATATGCTTAAACGATATCCATAAACCATGTGTTAGTACGACTTTTTGGATTGATTATTATTGCATCTGGGATGTTTACATATGATACAAGCTCAACTTTTCTACTTTGTTTAAAGTTAAAAGAAAATATCAAAAATTTATGTTCGTATTATATTTTAAGTGCCGAAAAAAATATATATTTAATGATTTTTCTTATATTCAAATATACTTCTTAAATCAAGCATTAATATTTATAAGAGATTTTCACTCATATAAAGAAATTGCTTCTAGAAAAAGAATTGTTCCATTCGCTGGAATTTTTAAATAAAAACTAAAGACACGAACACGTTTAAAATAGTTAATGTGTTTAATTTAACTATATTTAAACATACGTTCTCCATAAATTTTATTAAATGTGTTAAGCATATACTTAGCTTGACAGGCTACATGCAATATATTAAGCGTGTATTTTGTTAAAACAGAAAAAGTACTATTAATATAAGTATATATTTTTTAATGATTTTAACATTAATTAATTAATTAAAATTATTTAAAATTTATTAATATAACATAATAAAAATGCAATTAATTAATAAAATATTTTAAACTAGAATTTTAAATATTTTATAAATTTAAGAAATAATTTTATCTATTATATAATTTAATAGCTATAATGATTATATTATAGCAAATTATAAAAACTTTTATTAGTATACATTAAAATTTTTTTATAATATTTAAAATAATTTATAGATTTTTATCTTTTAAGGATATTCTATAACGCAAAAAGTGTTTTTAGTATACAGTATATTAATTTAATTTAAAAATTCAAATATTTTAAAATAATTTTATAAATACCAAAATATTAATAATGTTTTATGTTGAAAATTTAATATTTTTATATTATAAATTGTTACGGTATGGAAATATTTTAAAACCAAGTCAAGCTTCCAATAATGGTCACCTCCCAACTATGACCACTTGTAAATGACGGCCATTTTTTCAAGAATGTTTCTTTTCGAAATGCATACAAAATAACTTCCAGACAATGATCATTTATGTTCCTGTCAGTGGCCGTTCTTCAGAGGTTTGACTATAATTCAATAAAATTATTTTTACTTTTGTATTATTTACACTAAAGTTTTATTCGAATTTGCATTTTTTAAAATTCTAAACGGTTTATTTAAATATTTTATCTAAAAAAATTTTCTCTCTAAATTAACACGAGCCAATGATTTTTAAATAAATTCTTAAACATATTTTATCAAGATTTATTTTAAGTTCATTACACATTTTCTTGCTTTATTATAAAAGAAAATTGTGAGTTAATTAGATTAATTTTTATTTTTTAATTAAATTTAGAAGTATTTATAATAAATGCAAAAGTTTTTTCTTATAATCAATTTTATTCTAGATTTTTAAAAATAAATACAAAAGCATAAAAAATAATTTAGTGGAATAACACATTAATTTTTCATTTACGCATTTCATTTTGAAACTGTTATTTTGTTGAAGATTTTATAATTTAAGTTACTTTTTTGAATTGAATCTGAGGTTTAATCTTTGAATATAATTAAAGTTTAAAAATTTAATTAATTTTAATTAAAGATTATTTTTACTTTTTCTACTATAAGCGCTCGATCTATTGTTTTCTTCAGAAGATCGATTTGGAATGAAACATGCATTTCGAAATGTTCTAAACACGATTCTACTAGTTTCTAGATGATGTTTGTATGATCTGTTATGTATATGTAGTTTATGGACAATTTAATGTACATATCATACCTGAAAAACTTCGAAAATTGTTTTTGGATTACAGTAAACATGTTAGATAAGAACTCGATTTTGATCTAAAAAATTCCTAATTCTTACAGAATTTTTTTTTCATTTTTAAAAGAATTCAATATCAAAAACTGAATTTATAAACATTTTTCTTATCATCAATCGCATGTTTTGGGGTCAACTTTATAAAGCTGTATGATGATCACAGCAGATTTTATTGAGTAAAAAATTAATTAAACATTATTTATGATATAAGATATTTAATTAACGTTTTTATTAATTATAATTTATTAAAATGTTTAAAATTTTAAAGAATTTATNTCTATTATATAAGTTTAGAAAGAAAAAAAAAATTTAATTTTGTTAAGTAAACAGGAACTTGAGATATTACATGATATAAAAATTCAGCGTGGAATATATATTAGGTAGCCCTATATATAGACATACAATATATGTGTTTCTTGTAAATATGAAGTTATCCAGAGAATTTTCAAATTTAGATAGCGTGTTTACGAAATCATTCGTTTTACAAAACATTCCACTGCACAATATCGAAAAATCATTATACATAGTAAATACAAACAGGTGCTTACGTTTTCAAAATGACAACATTTTGTTTATCCGATGAGAACGATATTTTTTTCCTCTTATATATTATTGGAAAACAAAAACTAATCTTCAAACCTCTCACAGTTTGAAAACAGTTTAACAATTTTATTTATTTATTTATTTTGTTTTTTTTTAAGATGATAGCATTTTATGTCTCACTGTAAGCCTCTTTTTTTCTTGTATATTGTACCTGTAGGATTTAATCAAAATGTAAATAATCAAAGAAGCACGCAATGTTCGCTAAGAAGGTTGTTACTTTATCTACATTAGTTTATGATAGGACTTTGTTTATTTTTATTAATACGAAAAAAATAGG